ATATATAATAAAATATATTATATATTTATCTATATTCCCCACCATAATATGGTGAAATACGTTTGCATATAAAAGTAGACATGGACATATATTCCAGTTCTACCAGTGTTGGTGAGAAACTGCAACATTACCTACTCTGTTACTTTTTAGACAGTTATCCAGGGCATCCAGGCAGACTCTCGACATGAAGAAACCATAAACAAATCCCTGCCCTGCATGTCTGTGAACATGCTGTCTCTCAAAAGCAACAAAATTGACTTAAGTAAACTGAAATCCCAGTACACAGATAGAAACAACTGTTTTTTGAATGTCCAGTATGGATGACGTTGCATGAATTCAGGATAAGCACTGCAAAATTATTCAATAACATTTGACTGAGTTTTAAAACAAAATTTCTTTGCTTCTATTTATGCTGCTTCTTTTTTTTTTTTTCCTCCAAACATTTGAGGAATTAATTTATAGGCAGGAAAGTCTAACAAAAAAAAAGTCATTGTTCTGCCCGATTTCCCAGATGCACGTGTTTCACGTACAAGTGGAGGTGTTTAAACCTAACAACCCCAGACTGCAACCGCCATGGTAATGGTAGGCAGTAATCTACAGCATATAAATGTGTTTTATATCATACCAACATTGTCCTAGAAGTACCCTAAAAACAATGGAAGTAACATCAGGGTTAGCACTCCCATCTTACACTGGTAAACGGCTACTCAATACAGCAATTCAAGTGACTTAAGAATCTTGAAAACGCTCACCATCTTTCAGTATCCATCTCCTCAAGAACACGGCACCTTTAACTTCCTTTTCTTGTTCCTCCTGGCAAAGATCTTCATATATTAACCACCTGTAAGAGATGAAGTAAAGCATATTAAGGCATGTATTACTGTTAATAAGATTAACACACATGAGTAGAAAGCACGTGAAAAGGAAAAAAAAAAAAAAATTAACAAAAAAAGAGCTTGGGCATTGCTGGGCACTCCCTACATGTAACAAGTCCATTTGCTATGTACTCAACTCTGTCGAAGATTGAACAGTACCTGAGGCCAACTCTCAATGTAATTACATTGAATAATTTGGCTACGTTAAAAGTCAATCATTGGAGATATCTAAGTGAACAGTATTGTAATGCTTACTAGAATTAAATAAATTTTCAATAGATTCAAGTAAAGGGCATTTTAAAATTACTGATGCTTTAACTACCATGACTAAAAATTACAGGATCCTTTTTGTCACAGTTTTACAATAACCTCTGGTGCAAAATAATTAGTTGTAATAACCTTGTTGATTAATAGGCAGCTACCTAGCCAACTCCTGCAGCAATGGTGCTGTTTGGTTTCTACCATTCTTCAAGGAACACAGATTGTATACACATTTCTCCTTTGACCAGCAGTATCTATTCTTCATGGATGCTCTTGAGAGATAAAAAGTGATCCTACTTCTCTTATCCAAAACTAACTGACACTGAAGAATCTGCTTATTCTACACTGATATCTGGCATATAGCAGGTCCTACCAATTTATATGTCTTCTTCCTATGATTTCACTGGATCAGCTGCTCCCTTCAGCTGAAAGAACCCTCAGTATCAGCTGAACACCATTACAAGATAAGTAAGCACAGAGCTTATACAAAACACCTGTGTTTTACCTAATGCAGCTAAGATAGCATGAATTACAATATCGGCTCCCAGGCAGAACCAGACAAGGACTCAAGGCAGGAGATTCCTCAAAGGCAGTTTTGCCTCCTATTAGCTAAGCTTGGAAGGACCTTTTTTTTGTTGTTGCTCTTAAGCTCTTTGAAGCGTCCCCACCCCCTCTATTTTGGAAGTGATGCTTCTGCTCCTAGAAGCTGAAAAGTTCTGATCGCACATTAAAACAACATACATATGACGACTACTTCTCCTAATTCAATTGCACAGATTTCTATTTCATGAATGCACAAACTGAATTAGCACTAACTGAAGAGTTACAGTGACAGCAGTGAATCCATAGCACCTGCTGAATACTTATTTAGTAGTCTTTTAAGATCTGATAGTAACAAGCTAATTAACATTTTTAAATGATCACATCTGTAAAAGAACCTTACAAAATGCCTTGTTTGTCTTGTATTTCATATATACATGAAATAATTGTCAACAAATAATAATTGTTAACCTATTTGGCAGTTGTCCTGCCGTTGCTTAGTATTTCTGTACAGTTACCAGCAGAGATTCAATTCTGCCTTTTTCAAAGTGCTTATAAAATTCAAATCAAGTTGAGAGCCAATAACTTTAAACAGGAAAGCAAGATAAATCTGGAAAAACAGATGACCTGCCTACTGAGCCCAGTGGGGGACAATTAAGTAAATGATCCTCCAGGCTCTCGGCACTATCTGAGCTAAAAGATATATTCAGGTGCAGCTCATACATACGAAGGCGTTAGCCTCCGCCACCCCAGTGCAGTGGAAGTGAGCTCCTTTTAATTTTGTAGGCTGTGCACAAGCCTCTCCTAACATACGCTTACTCTGGAGGCAGAGACTTGAGCTCAATTTCCTCCTTATTCTGAGGGTTTTCATATGCTTACCTTTAATAAATTGCCACTTTGTCAGCATGCCAGCAGATTCTTGTCTCCATAGGACTAACAGCTCTTTAAAGAATTAGCCAGAGGCGAAAATCTCACTGAAATGGTGCTAAGTGACAGATTAACAGGAACAGAGGGGGAAGTAAATGTCTAAAAGGAACTTACTTCCTCTAGCCCAACATTCAGGCATTTTCCTCAGAGGACAGAAGCATCAGTTCTAGTCCTCAAATGAACTGTTTCCAGATTTTACCCAATGCCTGCTAAGTTTGCTTTCTACATTATTAAAATACTATTAGATATTTTATGTAAACTGTTTTTATAAGTAATCTTTCCAGAGAATATGTGAAGTCAGGTTCCTATTTCTCACCGATTTTTATGGGACTTGAGCCATTTGAGTAATATTCTACCTTTCTGAGTTCTTAAGCTGTTGAAGTTTAAATTTAAAATGTCACTTTAAAACAGTATGCTAAAGTGCCAGACGTTTCTGAGGAAATCTTGTTTTGTTGAGACACGAGTAAGAAAATACTCTGTGAATTAAGTATTCATCCAGATCTACATTAAGAGACTCCTTACACCTGGCTTTGTTTTTTTTCCCCCTTTTTGTGAATATCTGCAGGGAAACCTTCCTGAATCTTATTTCTTCAAACTCCTTTCTCCACTGTTGAATTTATGTGTAAACCTACATCATAGAGAAAGAACTAAAAGATGCAAAGCTCCTTGTCTTTTTTATGACAACATATCTCGTTTTCTCTGGAAAAGACGCCAACCTTTTCCTTCAGTAACTTTCCCATACCAACTTGCTGCTTTAGTCCATGACACTTTATATGCCCAATTTTTCATTATTGACTTTTTGTAGGAACAAAATTCAGTACAGTAACTTCTCTGTGCACATGGGCTGACTCTTCACTGTAAATCTGCATAAAACAAATCTTGCAGCAAACACATGAATGATGTATACAACCACTGGTTCCTAGTTCCAGCTCTTGAGCAGAACAAAGTATATGTAAGAGTTCCAGTTCTGGAAGCATGCCACTTTTGCAAGCTTTATTCATTTCCTCTGTTTGATTCAAGTCAGCAGTAGCACACAACAATTCTCCAGAGAGTATGCTGTGTTTTTGTTTTATTGCTGACAGCTCATTATTTTCTTTTTATGCTTATTTCTAGAAATAGTCCTCGAAGTTAGATCATTTCTTCCTACCTTGAAATAAACTTCTCAACAACTCTTCCTTACGGATTTATTTGTTTTCTCACTTAAGCTTTCAGCTACAAAGACTAAAATAACAGATTAATATTTAAAAATAAATCTTCAGTTACATAAATTCTATTATCTAAAGCAATGTAACCCAGTCTCTTCTCTTTCTAAATTAACAGTACTCGACAGCTAATTAACTTCAGCAGAACCATAAAAGGTGACCAAAAGGGAGCCAAAATACCTCCTTCTCTCAGGAGCATAGGCCTGGCTTTGGAGCAGAAGAGGCAGAGCTTGCCATATCAAAGCCATGATAATTAGCATGCTTGCTGAAGTAGCTCTACCTGAACTGAGCGTCTGCCAACCTGAAGATACAGGGAAGGTACACAGGGCTCATCTACGGAGGGAGTAATTGTGAAATTGTGTTACGTTAAAATATAATACCTCGCCCATTAGTAATTCTCCAGACAGACAGATATACTGCAAATGACTCTCTGCCACACAAAGACAGAGCATTCCCACAGAGCACTAAACACGGAAAGCAATTTAATTCTACTTGTCCATGCATACTAATTCTTAATCTTAGTCTCATTATGTTCAAGACCGATAAACTTAACTAGCCACACAAAAGATTTTTTTTCCCCCCCCCCCAATCATTGGCTCTGAGGAATGAGATTTGAAAGCACGCTGGCATCTTTTGTCTCTCTCTCTGCTTAGAGAGCCTGTACTTGAAGGAGCTAACAATGATACTGCCATGGCCAAAGCAAGCCAGACATTGAAGCCAGACATCCCACTGCAATGAGAATTTGAGCTCGTATCTGTTGTCTCAGATTATCAGAAAGCTGTAATTTATCTTTGTTCTTTTATCCTTGTTTCTTTCTTTCTGTACTCTTTAAGGGGGGCACATTGGTTATTTCAGGAAAACTACAGTTTCATGTTGTAAACACTCAGAAAGCTTCATGAATCATCAGGCATTAGTCAACATAAATACATTATTATATTTCTATTCCTTGATGCTTCCCGTAGTCTTCATTTTCTCTGCCTCTAAAAATACATTTTCTACCTCCTGTCATTTCCCTCTTCATTCCTACCTATCATTCTCCCTCCCTCTCCTTTCTTCACTGTCATTATGGCATGGCAAATGGACCTAATTCCTTTCATTCTCCATAAAAAAAAGGCAGAAAAGTCCCTTCCTTGCCATAACTTAAAACCACTCCAATTTCTAATTATTATTTGTTTATTTCCAGTACTCAGAGCTAAAGCTATATGTCAGCTTTACTGGAAGTTAGGTTTGTATTAAGAGGATATACTTTGTTCAGGGAGAGCAAGCAGGCTAAAGGGGGAAAAAAAAATTGGACACAGATTGCATCTTGCTTCACCCTTTGCGCTGTAAGTTGCTTGGTGAGAAACACAGGGGAAGCGAGCCTCAACACTCTTCTGGCCTGGAATTATCATAGGCCATCAAACAGAGAGGAATGAGGCTTTCTGAGATTATTTCCCAGAATCATCCAAAAGATAGGACCTCACAATAAGGGAGATAACTTACCCAGAAATCCATATGGAAAGGAATAAATTGGAGCACAAACAGTCTGGCCAATTCTCGTTTACTTTTCTCAACAGAACAAGACTTAGCTTTATGCTAGTAAGGCAACTGACACTGTCTCCTTCGGCACTCTCTCATGTAAGTGAGGGAACGATGCAACAGAGTTGATCTTGCCGTGGTGCAGAAACATGCACTAGAAGATTTCTTAAGGTTTCTTCTAATCTTACTTTGTACAATCACATAGTATTTATAAAAATACACAACAGGCATTAGCACCAAATAATCTAAGTGTTCTGTGATGCCTGTATCAAAAACATACATTTTAAAACCAACATTTCCAAAAGTACATATTTGTTAAGTATATCTCCCCAAAACAGAGAGGCTGTTCAGAAACAAAATACTCCCTTTCACCTTTCCTTTTCAGGTTGGGTAATGTTAAAACCTCAGATATTTTGTGGTTGGCATTTGTAGTTCACATATTAATAATATAGATGAGGACTCATCAGTAGCTTCTCATTGAGACCAGAAACGACACTAACCAACAGTTATGACAGTAG